CTCCCAAGTGCTGGGATTAAAGACTTGCACCACAATCCCCGGCTTATTTCATCTTTTTTTAAACGATTTTATTTTTGTTCTATGTGTATGAGTGTTTTGCCTGCATGTATTTAACTGCCCAATGTGCATGCAATGCCCATGGAGGCCAGAAGAGGTCATTGGATACCCTAGAAGTAGAGTTAAGAATGAGTGTTAGCTACTATGTGGGTGCTGGGAATCAGTGCTGGGTCTTCTGCAAGAGCAGACAGTGCTCTTAACCACTGAGCCACTGGTTTATTTCATCTTAACTCTTTCAAGTAATGGTCCATCACCGAGGAAAGTCAGGCAGGAACTCAAGGCAGGGCAGGAACCTGGAGGCAAGGACTGAGCATGGACCACAGAGCAACTGTGCTCAGCCTGTACTCAGCCTGCTTTTTTATACAACCCAGTACCACATCTGCCCAGGGGTAGCACCACCCTCAGTGGACTAGGCTCTCCCATGTGACGTGACTCAACAGTCAAGAAAATGCCTCACAGACAGGGCCACAGGCCAATCCTAGAGGAAATTTCAATTAAAGTTCACTCTTCCCATGTGTGTCAGGTTGACAAGTACAGCTATTCAGCATCCTGGCTCCAGAATTGGTTTTTTCCTAAAGAAAATTGATCAAAATTCTACCTGAGCTTACTTCCTTTAGTGCCTTTGATTCTTTCAGCTGCCTTCTCAAGAAAATACAAAGAACTGGTCTGTGGAACCTAACACACTCTTACCCTAGCGTCTGTTACCATTTACTATAGCTTCACAAAGTTATTTTCTCTACCCTGAGCATAGTAATAGCAGCTCCCTTTTGTCAGTGTTTATGAACTATACTATTTTGTCAAAACTGTCTCTTAAAGGGGGTGAAGTTTCCATTCAACCAATAAGGAAAAAGGCTTTAGCAACGTCACAGTTTTTCCTCCTTCACTGCTCAGGCTCTTCAATGCACGTATATCACACATCGTGCTTTTGTTCTGTCACTGTCTTTTTTCCTCACTGCCTCCCTGGAGACATCCTTCCTCTGGAAGCAGCTGAAAGGCTCTTTCATCAGGGAAGCCTACAGTCATCTGCTCTCCCTCCAGGTTGAGCTGGTGGCTCTTGGGTCCCACAACACCTTACACTTGCCTCAAGGTGGCTCTGAACTTCAGGTGTGCCAGTGTCCCCTCCACATTGCCAGTCCCTACCCAGGCTCCCCAGAGCTAGGAGGTAGGTGGTGAAATGTTTACTGGGTAACTGATGAGTAGTACATGGATCAATCTGGAGCTTGACAGATTTGCTTCACATTTGCTCCTGAGGAGCAGAGAAGGGTGACAAGTGGGCCTGGGAAACTCAAGTGAGGACTCTGTCAATCCTGCAGCTTCTTCCCACTGTCTTCTGCTGTGGATTTTGGTGCTCACCCCCCATAGCTAGGGCTCATCCAAAGGCAGCTCTGTGATACAAACCCCATTTATGAAGGGTTTTAATGGGCACTGGGATGTTGAAGTGCCAGGGTTAATTATCCTGCGAGTGTTTCAACTGACTTGCTTTTCATCTTGTCATTGGTTAGCTTCAAAGCCCATGGGTGCCCTCTAAAAAGGAAAGACACTCTGCCCTTCTATGATTGCTGGTTCTGAGCCATTTGTTCTTCATATTCCAGAAGGTTTATACCTCCTTACAGCATCTCTTCGTCTCAGCTGGGTCACCACAAGTGTTAAGGGGAGTGCGTGGCAAGGAGATAGTTTTGACTCTCAGCTGAATAATCTAGAGCCCTCTCCTGCCCTAGAGGGATAAAAAAACAAGGCTCATCTGAACTTATCTGGGACAAGAAAGCTCAGTGTTTCACTTGGGAGCAGTATTTTGGGGTGTTGCTCCTTTTGAATCTGAAAAGGAAAACAAATTACTTTTAGAAAAATTAGGTGAGAAAAGGTGAAAAGTCCTTAACAATATTCTCTAGTTCCTGAGATCTGATAAGCCTGTGATTATTACTTGCAACTTAATGAGTTTCTTTCATATGCTAGATACAGTTCTGAAAACTAAGACCTTCCTTTCTGGGACCATCGATTTATACAGTATTTCTTTGCCCTCCCCATTTTGCTGTATTTAAGAGCTTTATTCCAATTCAGTATTAATGCTTTTTGCTTTGTTTTTTGCACAGAGAATAAATAATTATAGCCCACTCTCAGAGACTTGGCCTTAACTACTTGTTAGTAGACCAAGATTTTTATTTTTAATTAAAATCTGTCATGTGGATTGCATGGTATCTAACTTTATTTTAATCCATGTTTTATCCTTCCCTATCTGATGAGTTAATGTCTTCTGTATTGAAAGCACTTTTATGGGAGATCTAAGCATTATGTAGACTTAAGTATGAGCATATTAATTTGAATAAAATTTAAGATACACTTAAGCTTGGCATGTCTACAGAATCAGATCAGAAGAAAGCCAAGATCATTAGTGACAGGAATTGCATGCAAGTTTGAGAAACCCTATTGATTCAATTACAGTTGTTAAGCAGGTATTCCAGAGGTGCTTCAGCCAGTGTTTGCTTAATTTCAGGAATAATGCAAATTACTCAAAAGTGTGTAGGGGAAGGGGGATAGGGACCTCCCTTTGCTCCCTGAGTGTGTGGAGAGAGAGACTGCAGGAACCTGGAGCTGGCCCAGTCTGTGGAGGTGAAGGCCTGCTTTCCTCTTCTCTTTACTCTAAGGATAGACAACAGCAGGGCTTGGAAAAGCTGTGTGAGGATAAAGCCCGTTCCTGGAAAAGGGGAGAAAGCAGGCTGAGTGTTGCATAGTGTAGAGTGGGAACAAGGAGGGACAAAATGCAGGCTCCAAATAGCTGGGGGTGAGGGTGGGGGAGAAGTGCAGGGGTTTCTGAGGTAGGGAGATACAGCAGTTCCCTGCCGGCTTCTCTCCCCTACCTAGGAAAACCAAGAAAGAGAGGCCCCAGGAAAGCACTGTTTAGGAGAAAGTAGAGGAATAATGTAGCCAGGAGAGGCAGTTTCCCTCCTCTCTCAGTGTTAAAGACCTGCCCTGGTTTGTTCTGAATGATCTTGCATGGAGGCACACGTTTGCCCCATGGCCCTTAGATGGGCATGCATTTCAGTGGTGGTAGTGTAATAGCACCCAGGGCTTATCTTTTTAAAATGAACAATTGAAAAGTAAAGCATCTACTAATATGCTGGGTATGAAGGGAATGCATGCCTTTTTAAATTTATTTATTCATTTCTCCTCCAGTTCCTGAAGCCTGGGGGAATAAGCAAGAGGGATGCTGAGCTGATTACAACCCAGACACTACTGGTCCCAATGAATTAAAAGAACATTAAAGCTGTAGCCAGGGACACCACACTTTTCATTTAACAAAGTTGATTGAAGCATTGACTCTCCTAATAGTCTCAAAAAGCAGGCTGGCTTCCTCTCACCTCAGGTTTCCAGGTGAGCTTAGGCGAAGGTTGGGCACCAGACTGACATAGCCGTTAATCGATGTGAGCAACTGGGTCAGCCACATAGAAGACTTGAAGTGTGTAGGCTCCACAGCCCCTTCTGGCTGGAATCCTGTAGACACTCACTATCAGTGTGGTAAGAGTGAGGGAGAAGAGCTTGCCCCTTAGGCAAAGCAAGGCGTCCTCAAGCACATCTAAGACTAGAGCACTGGGCATTCCCTGAATGTGAGGGGCAGCACAGCACTATGACTGGAGCTCATCTCACTGCTGAAAATTCAAACTTATGCCCTCACTTCCTCCTGTGTGTCTGATATGACTGTTCTGCAGAGGCTGTTGTGACTGTAGATGGCTTTACCAGTGTTCCTCTACTCTTTCATGACAGCCACTGAGGGTGCTGTCATTTGCCCCTGTTCTCTGAAGCAAGCTGACTTGGGATGTTAAAATTCTACCTGGTATTGCTGAGAATGTGATCTGAGACCTGCTCTGTTGCCTCTTCTCCCTCCCAGCCTTGAAACCTCTTATTTTGCATTCATCCCACCCCTCATTTTCTCAAATAGCAAATGTGTATCGAGAACTCCACCTGCTCACTGTTTGATACCCAAGGGAAAGGCAGGATACTGCAGTCCTGCTATGAAGTTAACACCAAAGGAGTTACAATGGGAACCTGCAAGACCGCCCAGAGGGTTTAAAAGACACTTGCTGTCAAGTCTGACAACCTGAGTTCAATCCCCAAGACTCATGTGGCAGAAGGAAGGAACGAATCCTGCAAGCTATCCTCGACTGTGGAGTGTGTGTCACACAGTAAATTAATTAATTAAACATTTTAAAAAGAATGAAAGCGAATACTAGTCTGACGCCCCAGCCTCTCGCGCCAGCGGTAAGAATCTCTAGCGGCGCCCTGGCAGCTCTAGGTAGGCTAGCTGAACTGCAGTCCTTTCTCCCCAGGCTCTTCAATAGCAATCACTTTGCTGTCCTTGGCCCTGTGCCGCTGAGAGACTGTTTCTCCATCCGCATCCAGACAGTAATCTCTACCTTAAAAAGCAATGTCTTACACTTTTAGAAAATTGAAACCTGAAAAATCTACTCATTTAGTCTTCCCACTTCCTCCCAGCCTGTGTCTCTCCCAGTCCCCCAACACCCAATTTTCACAGTCGCCCCTATCCTCTTCTAGGGACTCTCCTTCCTCACTAACCCTTTAAGTTCGGCATCTCCCGCCATCCCCCAGGACCACCCTAGGCAGAGGGCGGCCTTACTCGGGGGAGGAAGGAGGAAAGGGGTTCAGGGATCCAAATGGTCATGGGCGCTCCTGCGCCCAACAACTTAGCCTTGGGCTGCAGTAGGCGGTTCTGGAGGTCAGGAAGAAGCTGGCTCAAGGGAGACAAGCCATCGAGCGTGCTGGGCCCTTTTCCCTGCCCGCGGAGTGGCCGCCCTGACCTTGACGGGAGACGAGGCTGGCGCCCAGCGCTCTGCGCACCGCGGCTGGGTCCCGCAGCCAGGCCCGCCCAGCACCTCCCAGCGCGCGCCCGCCCTCCTGCGCCCGCCGGGTCTCCTCCCCTCACTGCAGCGCTCTCCGCGCTCGCCCATCGATCAGCCCCTCCCTCCGCAGCCTCGGCACAGATCGCCAAGCTCAGCAAGTCTTGCAGCAAAGGCACTTCGGAGCTGAGTTGGGCCGGGGGCGGAGGGGGGACTCCGCGCCCGTGGGAAACCGCGGCCGCTGGATCGCCGCCAGCACCGCATCCCTGCAGCCCGACGCTCCTCCCGTCGGGGACCACGGATCTTCTCCCGCCGCGTCGGGGTCGCCCTCGAGTGAGTCCCGGTCGCCCTCGGGGACACCGGCCGCCCCCTGCAAAGTTTCTCCTTCGAGGCATTCGAGTGTGGGGGCGGTTTGCACCTGTGTCCTGAGGGTGGGTGGGTCGCGGAAGTTTGGGGCAAAGGGGACCACGCGCCCGCACCATCCTTTGCAGGGAGTTTGCAGCGCCGCGGAAAGGTTAGTTTGGGGGTGCCGCAGCCGCTGGGCGAGGAGCCGGCTCCGCTGCCGGCTTACGTGGGGAGCTATGGAGGAGAAGGGAGGTCGGGGGTCCATGCGCCCTCCAGCTCCGCGGCCCCCCTTTCATGGCCCCGGGCGCTCCTACTTGCGCCTAGCCCATCCCCCGCCGTCTGAGCAGTCTCCAGTGTGGCTCTTTTGCCCCCTTTCAAGCTCCTGGGACCCGCAGCCCCGCCATCTAGGAGGAGTGTAGGGTCGCGCTCCAGAGGCTGAGGAGCCTGACTAGCAGAACTGTCTGGAAATGAGGGTCGAGGGTCGCAGACCTGGACGCTAGAGTGGGATTGCAGACGTCCCTCCAAATCTCATGACTCAGCACGACCTAGGGCGGCTTGTCGCAGCTCCAGTCCTGGTCTTCAGGTGCAAAAAAATCCCATTTCCCATTCCTGATTCTGGTCTCTTACATTTACCTTTCCTACTTTTCCCCCTCTCCCCCATTAGGAGTTTTCTATTTTAACTTAGAGGAGCCATTCCCTTTTCCATCCGGTAAATGCTGGTGCCCTCTTTTTTCTTCTGCCCACATTCCACAGGTGCCTCTAATGGCCCCTGGCCCGCAGCGGCGGCGACGCGGGGTCTCCCTTTGCACCCCCACTCTCGACTAAGTGGTCTCTTTCCCTGGTAGGCACCTGAGGAAGCCGACAAAAGGGCAGAGGAGGCGCTGGCTCAGCAGGGCCACTGCAGTGTGGAGAGGGCAGAGGGTGGGAGCCGAGGTGGGAATGGGGTGGGCATGAGGAGGAAACAGCATCCAGAAGGCACCAGGAAGAAGACTGGAGAGCCTGAGGTAGGCGCTCCTCCCCTTCCCTGCTGCTGATGGGAGGCGGTGATGCCTATGTAATAGATTGTCCTAGGTCCAATCTCTAGCTCTTGGGAACCTGGGCACTTCATCACTCAGGTGCTGAGGTGCAGGACCAAAAGGCCCTTAATCCTTCCAACCATCTCCCTCAGCTGACTCCAAGTCCAGCCTTTGGGCTGATGATGATGATGATGATGATGATGATGACGACGACTACGACGACGACCATAATTAATAATTTTTTAAAAAAAGCCATTGGCCCTAAGGCTGAGCCAGAGGGGCATTGGCAGGGATGGGAGGGGGCAGGGCAGCTCTGATGCAATGGAACGTGCCTGGTTTCCTGGCTAGCCAGTAGTGGCCTGGCAAACACTGTAAACCGTGGTTTTACACGAGGGGTCCACATCAGGCACACTGCAGCCTGGCCTAAGGAATCCAGGCCCAGTCCTTCCCAGACTCTTGGGGAATGGTCAGTGCCAGCCCAACTGGGCTTTCTCCAGAGCTGCCACCTGCCTCTGCCCTGCTCTGCTCCCAGATACATCCTTGGCCTCATCCTTTAGGACTCCCTTTGGGACTGGGCTTTTTCTAAGCACCTCATGGGTTTGATCCTCACCCTTTCCTCTCTGCACCTGGCCATGGAGGAACTGAGAGCTTTAGGAAAGCCAGGGATGGGGAGGCAGAGATAGGTGCAACAGTTATTCTCTGGAGGCACAGAGACCAGTCCTCCACCTTGAAAGTCAGCTTTACTCAGCACTCTACAAGCTTTTTCCAGGCTGACTGGGATCTTTTTATGCAAGCACATTTCTTCTTTCCACTTTGAGGCCCGGCATCCTCACAGGACCAGGGGAAGAGAAAGGCACTGGCATCTGTAGGTTGCCTTTCCCTGCAGGAGTCTGTGGCTGGCATTGGTTTTATCCTAGGCAAAATGTGTACCTTGTTGAAGACTGGCAGGGCCAGACAGTACCTTTCTGGAACTGGTCAGAGCCTCCTGGCCACTCTGCAGCTAGAGGTTATTTAAGGTTTTCACCTTCAGGAAGCTTCCAGGTAGGTGCAACATGGCTGCCCCTCATACTGCAGAGATAGGGGTAAGGGGGCGATGGCTGAAAAAACCTCTTCTCTGCTAGGACACCCCAGTCCTTCTGGATCTAAGCACGCCTGACCTTGAGAGGCCTCTGTCAATATTTGTCCTGCCCTGGCTGAGTCCTCCCTTCTCTGCTGATACTGTGCGGTCCGTCTCAGGGGAGGGTGGCTAGAGGGGCAGTGAGTGTGGGGAGCAGGGGTATGAAGAGGACAGTGAGGGGAGGCTGATGCTCAGTGGACTGGAAGAAGGGTACAGCATTCCCTTCCCTGCATGGAGGCACCCTCTGGATCAGAGAAGGCTGAGCCAAGTAGAATGCGGCTTTCCTTGGCTCTGGGATTTTCTGGGTGGCCTTGCCTGGTTTAGGCAGGCTCTAGCTAAAGCTAGATTTTCTCATTTCAAGCCAGACATCACAGTTGTCTGTCCAAAGTGGGAAGATACTCTGTAGGGACTGGAGTGGCCAGCCAGAGGATATCAGCAGAGGACTTTTACACAGGTGATGGTTCAGACAGGAAGTAGCAAAGCAGAGAGTTGCAGAGCCAAGTGGGCTTGGCTTCAAGTCCCCAGCCACTGCAATGGTTGGTCTTGATTGTCAACCTGACTGGATTAAGAACCATCTAGGGCCAGGTGTGATGACACACACCTTTGGTCCCAGCACTTGGGATGCAGAGGCAGGTGGATCTCTGTGAGATTGAGGCTAGCCTGGTCTATATATTGAGTTTCAGGCCAGCTGGGACTACAGGGAGACCCTGTCTCAAAAAAAAAAAAAAAAATAGGGCATTTGTGAGATATACCTTTGAGTATATATCTATGAGGGCCTTTCCAGAGACGATTAACTGAAGAGACAAGACTTGCCTTAGATGTGGAGGACACCATGCCATGTACTGAATAAAGGGAAAAAGGAGAAAGCCAGTCAAGTACCAACATTCCCCTCTCTCTGATTTGTATAAGTTCCCACAGCCACAGCTGCAAGCATCTCCTGCCTTCCCTACCATGACAGACTCTATCCCCTGAACCCTGAGCCAAAAAGCCTTTCTTCCTGAAAGCTGCTTCTTATCTGGCATTTGGTTACAGCTAATATAGACGCTGATTATGAAGAGTGTGGCCTTATGCATGCAATAAGTATTTTATTAGTGAATAACTACTGGGTTCCACTGTTCTAGATACTGTGGATGTGGCAGTGAATATAACCAATAGGAGTTCTGATTTTGTTTTGAGTCAGGGTCCCATGTAGCTGAGGATAACCTTGACCTTCTGATCCTCCTGCCTTCTACCTCCTGAGTGCTGGGGTTACAGGTATGCACCACCAAATCTGCTTTATACAGTGCTGGGGATTTAATCCAGGACTTTGGACATGCTAGGCAAACACTCTACCAACTGAGCCATATTCCCAGCTCCTAATCCTTGCCATTCTGGATTTTGAATTCCATTGGGCCTCATCAAAGTACATTACTTAGCTACTTTAATAATCAGTTCTCACAATCATTCAATATTCATTCAATATTACCTTTGGATAGTTGTTTGGAGACAGGGTCTTGCTATATAGCCCAGGCTGGCCTTGAACTCACTACGGAGCTCAGGTTGGTCTCCAACTCATGATTTTTCCTGCCTCAACCTCCCTGGTGCTGAGATTACAGATGTGTGCCACCACAGTGGGCTTGACAGTTACTTGTTTTGCTTTTTTTGAGACAGGGTCTCCCTGTAGCCCCAGCTGGCTAGGAACTCTCTGTAAACCAGGCTGGCCTTGTTCTCACAAAGATCTGCCTGCCTCAGCCTCCCTAGTGCTGAGATTACAGGTGTGTACCACCACATGGTGGCCTTGACTATTACTTTTTGATAGTCTATTGTATGCCAGAGGCACGCTAGGTGATAGACATTTAGGTGGGAATGAAACATACCTGGTTCCTGCCCTGACTATCTAAGGAATTCAACACAGCTGTGACAAGTGCCATGCATGTATCCAGGATACTCCAAGAGCCCATGAAGGACCTGACCAGGTCTGGAGCATTTCCTCTGGAAAATAGAAGTTATAATACTTTCAGGATAGTAATGTGTAAATAACTGTTAATATTCTTTACAGTAGTCCATGGCTCATTGTACTCATAGACGCTGACATGCCCCATGTGGGCAGTCCATACATGCAACCAACTGATCATTCACCCTCTGCTCTGTTGGAAGCCAGGCCAGGAAACTGAGATTCAGCTCTGGGCTCTCTCTTTTTTTTAAATTTATTTATTATTTTTATTTTATGTGTATGAGTGTATTGCCTACATGTATGTGAGTGCACCCATGTCGTACAATGCTGTGGAGGTCAGAAGAGTGTGTCGGATTCCCCTGGAACTGGAGTTAAGGACGGTTCGTAGTCGCCATGTGGGTGCTGGAAATTGAACCCGGGTCCTCTGCAAGAGCAGTCGGTGCTCTTAATCACTGACCCATCTCTCTAGCCCCAGTTCTGGTCTCTCTTGGAGTCAGAAGGTCTGTGGCAAATGCCAGAGTTTAACTGGAGAAATGCCACATCATAACATTTTTTTCTAAGAAGTGGGATAATAACTATAGACAGATTGCCTGGGTCTTCCTGGCTCTGGCACATGCTCAAACTTTGGTCAAGTTGTTAATCAAGCTCTTATTCTCAGTCTTCCTATCTGTAGACTAGAGCTAATGAGTTCCTGTAATGCTGGAACAGGCTAGGGTGAGAGCCACGTGAGCAGCTTCCTCCATGTGCCTGTCCTTCCCTTGCCTACATACAGAATTGGTGCCCATTTCAGGATCTCTTCCATTCAGCTTTCAGACAGTTCTGCTTGGTGCCTAATGAGCCATTTCTTTCCAGAGCTTAATTTCTGGGAAGGATCTGTCCTAGCCGTTCTTCATTTTCATCCCTTGAACAGATAGTTCAAAGA